GCTTTTACGCACAGTTTACAATTTCCCCTGGTTGGGGGAAGTAGGGACAACTCTGCTCAGAAGAGCTGCTGCAAATTTATTAGGTTGGTGCACAAGTAATTGCAGTTTTTATCATTTAGAAAAAGGCAAAAAACTGCAATTATTTTTGCACCACCCTAATACTTCAGTGTAGGAAATTCAGAACACAGAAAGATCGTATGCAGTCGGCCACTACAGCCCACAATAACCCCACACTCTTTTCTATCAACAAAACCTATTCAAAAAGGGACAAGGATCCAGGACACTGCTCTTCCATGGTACAGCCATGTTTTCCTGCCTGTCAGAGGAGGCTCTGCATTGATCAAGTTAAGTTCAGTTCATTCTGTGACTTAACTACAAGTCAAACTGGGCAGACTTACTCCACACCTGGCAAGTATCCTGAGGCCCTTGTTACTGCTTAACTGAATTATATCCATGTTCTTTGGGAATGGCCTCTCAGGCTTCCACGGATGATGAAAAGAACAAACACTTATTGGGTGTCCATTATATGCCAGGACAGCTCACAACACTGTATATACCCTCTCAGTCACTGCTGAGCACCAAACTGCGAGCTAGGTAACATATACATTACACAATTAAGAGTATTACACGTGGGGAAACCAAGACACAGAACTGTCAAAGAACTTTGCTAATAACCAACATCGAGTAAATGAGAGTCAGGATTACAATCTAGCTCTGTATGTCTATGAAGCTTGAGTATGGAAACCAAATATTCAGATAACCAGTTAATACAAAGGTAGATAAATTCTGCTCAAATTTTGGACACGTAATTTAAGTCCGATTTCGAAAGTATAGTTTAGAAGAATGATGCTATAGAATATCACCAACTTATCAATATACAGATAACACACAATGTGATTTAATTGTACACAATGTGATTTAAGCAAAAACAACGAGACTTTTGCTTAAATCATATTCCCTGAAATATGCTTACTTCCTCCAACGGAAGCCTGATATAACTTGAATGGTTGGCACTTTTTTTATGACTCAAGGATTAGAGTTATTATTTTTCCTCTTAATTACAAAAAAAATTTTTTTTTCCTCTCAGTTCCTTCCTGTAAAAACTTTAGTCTCTAGGGTTTGAATCCTTTTGGTTAGGTTTAGAAGATCTCTCTGAACAGAATAGAAACATAATCTATTTACTTTTTGAGATTTATGAATGTTTTCTATAGAGGTTTATAAATATAGCATCCTAGTTAGAACAACAAATACAGTAAAGTACTTATATGTACTACTTTAAATCTTACAATCCAGTGAAATCTGTAGCCTCATCTCAATATTTCTTTTTTTATTTAATTCACTATAAGGTAATGGGCTTTTCCCTCCCTTTCTGTGCTCTCTGATATATTCAGAAATTTTTGAATCATTTTAAATATCACAATTTCTGATATTAAAATATTTTAAACCCTTCGTTTTATTAGTAATGACAATTCCTATTTGGCCAAGTGCTTATGAATTCAGATTTGTGATCATGTAATCAGTATTGAAATCTGTATAGAGTAATATCACAAAGTTCTACATTTAGGTAGACGTCAATCCCCTTACTACAATTCATGTTTTGGGACATGGGGCAAATTACTTACACTCACTGAGCCTCAATTTCCTCATCTGGAAAATAGTGATATCTGACAATATTGTAGTGATTAAAGGAGATGATGTACGTCAAGGTGGTTAGACAGAGCTTGGCACTTGTAATTTCCCAACAAACGCTACTTATAACAATGATTAAAAAAAATAACAATAGTAATAATAAATGATTTATTGAATACTTACTATGTAACCAAAATTGTGATCAAGACTCTGGAAGATATGAAGCATAAGACTCAGTTCCAGCACTCGAAGTGCTTATATACTATATGGAACAAATAATAGTATCATAATGAACACAGAATTTGGCTTATGAGAGGTATGGGATGAGGTCTGGACTTTGCCCCTTACTAAAATTGGGTGTAACTGTTAGGAACTGTACTTGGCTGTTGATTAAAAAAAAAAAAAAAAGACCAAAAATAAGTCATTTAAACAATACATGATTGCAGTCTGTGAAAGCTACTAAAGCAAAAGCTAAGCTGTGCCCAAATTACTGACCCACAGAAACTGAAGTAATACGTGGGTATTGTTATAAACCACTAAACATTGGGATAATCTGTTAACAACAATCAATTAATATATGTGGCTCATCATGTTGTTGTATACAATTGTAATTCCTTCATTCTCATTACTTTATAGGAGGGTTTGGAAAGCTTTTTTTTTTTTTTTCCCTGTAAAGGATCAGGTAGGAAATATTTGAGGCTTTGTAGGACAAGAGGCAAAATTGAGGATGTTATGTAAGTATGTCTATATAATTTCCAGGTTTTGAAAATTATACCTTTTTGTATTTTCCCAACCATTTAAAAAAGTAAAAATCATACTTAGCTGGTGAGCCATAAAAAATAAATGTCTCATTGCTCTTAGTTTGTTGACCCCTGCTATATGGAATTATTTGTTTATACCATAGTTCATCTGTCCAATCTGTTGTTGATAAATATTTGAGTTGTTTTCCATTTGGGAAACATTAAAATAATGCAGCCACAAACATTCTTGCACATGTCTTTTGGAGAACGTGTGTGTGCATATTTGTTTGGTGTAAACCTAGAAGTAGAACTGCTGGGTCACAGCATAAGCATATATTCAGCTCAATGTTTCAGATGGTTTTCCAAAGTGGTTTTGTGAATTTGCACACCACCAGCAATATATGAGTCTTTACTGCTTCACAATCTTGCCAAGAGTTGGTATTTTGTGTCTTTTTCTTTCAAACATTCTAGTGACAAATGTAATTTTTTTTCTTTAGCACTTCCCAGGTGATTCTAATATTCAGCCAGAATTGAAAACCTCTGCACAACTATTGTTTATCCCTTATTAGGCAGAACCACATGAAACTGCTCTATTTGTAGGTTTTAAAAATGTTCAAACATTGGCTATTTCATATGGTTGAAACTAACATCTCCTTCACATTTTATTTATACTAAAAATAAAACTCGTCTAGAATGCGCATCACTGGGAAAAATATTAAAGACTTGAGCTAAGATGAAGTTTTAAAATTAACAACAGATTTCAGTGACTTTTTTATTTTAATATCACCCAGATATTTAAAAGCTTGGAAACAGACCAATGGTTTTCATCCTCAATGAAGACTGGAATCACCTCTAGGTTTTTAAAACCTAAGTGCCTCTACCCAAACCCCCATAAGCCCTGATTCTGTGAGACTAAGATAAAGCTTAGGAATATTTATAAAAGGCTGATGCACAGCCAAGGTTGAGAACCATTGATACTACCTGTCCTATGGTTTTCTTTCATATTCATTCAATCTAAGAAAATACTTAATGCTTTGGTGATTTTATATACATAAAGTAGGTAAGCACCTGGATTTCAGTTCTTTCCAGGTTTTAGAATGCTTGGTTGTGTATAAGGTTGGAAAATTCTTTTTCTCATAGAAATTATGTCTCACTGAATGGGTCTCTCTCTACTGTACCTAAAAGGGAGGCTTAGCTTTGACTTCTACACAGCTCCATGGACTCAGAATTAAAGTATCAACAAGAGCATTTAATGGTTATACGCAGGTATTCTTTAACACGCCTATACACGTGTTATTATTATATATTACCCAATAGGAGGACTAGGCATGTAATTAGTGACCAGAACAACAGGTGTGCATGTATACACTCAGAAACAACATTGTTTTGAGATTTTTTTTTTTTTTTTTTTTTTGCTAATGACCAAGACAGACAAAAATGTCTAAGAGGTCATCATGGGAAGAATCCGATTTTTGCACTTCCTTATTTTACAGAGATTAACATTATATATGGGTGACTGGGTGGATGTGGTACCAAATGCATTTCCAAACTGAAGGCCTTTAAAAGTCAATCCAGTCTTGGGCCAGATTTATTCCTGTGGCTATTCCCTTACCCTTTACAGCCACAACTGTATCCGTATTTTCATATGCAGGAAAAAATGTTTAGAAACTTAATTTTTACCAGCTGTCGAATTGTATTGCTATCCACGTGATTCCCCCTATCCTGTCTGCTTATATCATCCCCAGCACCTACAGCTAGGACGTAGTTTTCAGAAGTTGAAGGAACGTGATTCTCAGGCACTGTTAATTATTAGGCCCTATCACAGGCTGTCAGCAGGCTCCAAGGCTAGCCAAATTGAAAGCCTCCTATCCTGGAAGCCAGGCAGGCTTTCATCCGACCTCCTCCGGTACAATCCGGGTTCCGACTTTGCTCCTAACAACCCCTTGGGGATGTTGCCTATTGGGGTTTAAGCCACTCCTCCTCCCCTACACCCCCATGCCAAGTATTTAGCCACCTGAACCACCCTGTAGGATCAGAAGACGGCTGTATCAACCGGCGGAATTCCCCCACAAAACCCATACATCTCAGGGTGCGAAGGAACAAGTTTCAACCTCAGCCTGGGCAGCGCTCTCTGGCCCAGGTGGAGAACCACAGGAGGACAGTGGTTCTGCTCTCCCTACTAAATGGTGGTTCAGGAGGTCAGGGGGCGGTACCTGCGGCAGAGGCCAGCGGACGAGCCCGGGGGAGCTCATCACACTGCTGCCCGGCACCTGCCCACCTCACCACACCTGCTACGTACCAACCCCCTTGTAATGGACAGGGAAGGGCTCAATCACGGGTCCCTACTCTTAGCACCGAAGCTATCTCAGCGCACGGCCTCCTGGGAGATGTAGTCCACACCGCTTCCCGGGACCCCCCCCCCTTCCCACACCCCAGGCGTCCTGGGTCCCCTCACAACTTCCCCAGGAGAGATTACTCGGTCTGGTCAGCCGAAGCTGGAGCTGCTGTCCGAGTGTGGGGATAGTCGGCGATCCGCGTTGGAGTCGGGGTGCTCTCCCGAGTCCGAGTGAAGGGAGGGAACTACACTTCCCAGGACGCCCTGCGCGCGCCAAGCCCGGAGCCGGCTGCCTCGCTTTGCGTGACCGCGGCAGGTTGGTCCTGGAGCAGATAAGCTCAGAATATTTAGGCGAAAGCTAGAGGAGGGGGGGAGCGCGGGGCAGGAGGAGTACCTCGGCCAAGAAAATTATGCATGCGTTAGGGAAGCTCTGAGAGAATGGCTGTGGAAGGTAAGGGACGCTTGGGGCATTTTTGAGCTCCTTCTTAACCCGCGCACCCCAAGCCACACATCCCCGATGAAGCTTGGCGATCGTGGGGAGGCGAGGAAAGGGGGTGGCGGAGAGCGGGCCCCTTCCTCCTTCACCTCTTGGCACTCACCTGCGCCGCCAAGGCCAGTAGGCGCTTTAATTCAGTTGCTTTGGAGAGACGTTAAGGGTAGGTGCGCAAGACTTTGAGGTAGGAGGTGTGGAGACGAGTGTCCCTGATGCGAAACGATATCCTGGAAATGGGGGGAAAGCCGGAGGATCCGGCATGAGGTTTGGCCCCGGGATGCCCTTTTTCCCTGCCCCTTCCCTCCGGAGCGGGCTGGGTGGCCCCAGGGCTGGGGATGCTTGGTTGGCCCCCTCACGTGGGAGAGGTTCCCGGCCCAGGTGCGTCATCCGGAAGCTTGGACTGGGATTGGGTCGAGGGCCCTTCGTCCTGTGCACCCAGCAGCGGCGGCCGCAGATGTATCCAGAGGGTAGAGGTGTCCCTACACCTGTCTCTGCTTATACAGTCAGCGCCCCGGGCTTAGCAAAGTTTACAGACATGTAATGTAATCAGCCAGGGAAAAGAAGTGCAACCACCTCTTCGATTTGGGTGAATCCTTTTCTTTGAAGACCACTTTCTTCTTACAGTCTTGAGCTTCGACTTTGCAGTTTTGACCATACAGTCCTGCCTCCCTTGAACTTCCTGGTTGAAAGCAGGGTCGGGCTGTTCATGAGGGATCCTGAGTTTTTCATTTCCGATTCTCTTACCTTGGAACACAAACTTCCTTGTTTAGGGTAGTTTCTGAAGAAGGAAAAAAAAATTGTGGACCAGAAGCGTTTGTGATGTCACATTAGAGGTCAAGCTGTACCTAAATGATGAAATGATTGTGGGACAAAATGGGAGCCTACATTCACCTACAGAATTTTGGTTTCTGAGTGCGGTCAGGTCAGAGCGGGTACTGAGGTAGGGAGAGGAGGCATGCTTGCCAGCTGCTTCAGGCGCCTTGCCAAGGGGAAATGAGCCTATTCCTTGTAGGCTAGAGACCAGAAGGAACCACAAGGGCTGGCTTGCTCCTCCCTCTGCTCCCTGCCCCAAGAGAAAGAAACTGAACTAATCTGACTCTTGCTCCCCTTATAACGACTGTCTTAAGAACCCGAAGTAGCAACAACCCAGCTCCTACACTCAGCACCCATAAACTCGGGAAACTCTTGCCTTTGGGCTATCTCAGGTTCAGAGATCCACAGCCAGCCACTTCCAGCTTTCCTAAGTTTATTAACAAAAATGAAGTCCTCTCTCTTACAACCAAGATTTTTCTAGGTTTTCTTGTCAGTGCAAATGTACCAGTAGGGTGAGAATCTCTCTCTCTCTCTCTCTTTTTTTTTTTGTATCGTTATGATTGATAGTGAGTCAAGACTTCAGATGCCAAAAAAACAAAACAAAAGCCGAGATAAAGTTCATCTTGAGCTTGAGACCAAGGATATGTTGACGTACTCCTTAAATATCTCTTCTACGTCACCCATCAGGTGGCACTGATTATGACCTCTCCTCTTCACCACTCCCGTGTCCCCAAGACAGGGACACTCCCCCTTGTTGCTAGTCCACACTGTTCTCGAAAACAATTTCTTGTCCACTGTAAGAAGTATAAATTCGTCTTATTTCTTGCCTAATGGGTGATTATACCAGTGAAGCCAGACTTTACAAAAACAAGAACTTAGGAAGGAAGTACATGTGGACTATGGAGAGTTTATTTTCTAGTAACTTATTTGGTTAAAGTACCTGTCTAGTAAACAGGAGATCCTGAGTTTGAATCACAGTGAGGTCTCAAAGAATGAAGGAAGTATTTTTAACTTTAACTGCAAATATGATTCTTATCTTTTGTCTTTGCAAAGAGGTCAGCCTGGACCAGTCTCTTCCTGGTTACTCCTACTTGGTCTTTCAAGCCTCAGGGAAAATGTCACTTGCTCTGGGAACCTGTCCCAGCCCTCCTTTCTCTTCTGCCTTCTCAGCACTCTTTCCAGTCTATGGGAGGTGCCTCCTGCTCACATTTATCTTAACACTTATCATACTTAATCTACCTCTTACTAAACTCTAACCCCCTTGCGGGTTAGACTTGGACTTTATATTCCCAGCTTATAGCACAGTACTTGGCCCATAATAGGTACTCAATGCTCATTCATTGCATGGCAAATATATTCATGGAGGTTTTGTAACTGGTTCTATAAGGGTACATGGGGCTTTCTTGGAAGCCTAAATGCCATACAATCAGGGACTTCTGACAGATTGGAAGACGGGCCTTTTTTTTTTTTTTTTTTTTTTTTTTTTGAGATGGTGTTTTGCTCTGTCACCCAGGCACATGATCTCGGTTCACTGCAAGCTCCGCCTCCTGGGTTCACCCCAATCTCCTGCCTCAGCCTCCCGAGTAGCTGGGACTACAAGCGCTTGCCACCAGGCCCGGTTAATTTTTTTGCATTTTTAGTAGAGACGGGGTTTCACCGTGTTAGCCAGGATGGTCTCGATCTCTTGACCTCGTGATCCGCCCACCTCGAAGTGCCCTTCTCTTCAGTCTTTTGTCTTGATGCCCAAAAAATCTTTTAGAGCAGTAGTTTACATCTACTGCTGAGTGACATTGTCTCTGGGCACATTTGGGATATGTAGGAACTGCTGCTGGGGGCTGCTATTGGTATTTTGTGCCCATGGCCAGAGATAATCCATGGCCTGCAGTGCATGGCCTTCCCATATCATGTTGCCAAGCCATGGTCAAGTAATGACCAGTTTTCCCAACTCATTGAGAAATGCTGCTTCAGAGAATAAGGAGTTTTGCCAGAGGAACTGGAATAGAAAATACAGTTCGAATTACTTAACATCTAAGCTTTAGTCTCCACATCTGGAAAAAATGGGCTCACTACTGGTTACCTCCTGGGAACATTGTGAGGATTAAATAAAGGAGGGGGCTTCTGGAAGGGTGTCTGGAACCTGTATCCTAAGTAAATATTACTTGTACTCACATCCCGTCTCTTAAGAAAAGCTATACTAATTGGCATGTGTTTTATATCCTGAATTTTCACTTATTCATGCCAGCCAGTTTTTCTAATTAGTAACAAATTAGAAGGTTTTTTACTATGTGTAACATTTTTCTTAAGTAAACTTGAACTTGAATTTGTAAAAGTGTTAATAGCAAGTAGTTCTCTCATTCATTTTACTGAACCTGCAGCTGTGTGTTTAAGATGAAAAAGAGGTGCCCTTTGTTTATTGTTTTGTAACTACCCTGGGTTATGTTTTCTTCTTAGTTTAATTGCTACGTCCTATCTATGTCTCCTAGTCTGGTTGCGACCCATGCTTTGCATTTATGGGCAGCTTACAAGTGTGCTTTCCAGCCACAGAACAGGGTACGATCTTATGGTCTGCATTTGGATTAGGATTATACTGGCATCCATTGTCTTTTTTAAAAAACAAAAACAAAAGCAGTGTCTTGTGAAACAAATTAGCAGGACTAGGAACTAGGACCTCTTGGAAGGAGGTAGCAGGGACCCCAAACTATTCCATTCTCTATGGACAGACTATGTATAGATGGTTGCACCTATTGATGTTTTCTAACGGAAGTGGGTTGCACTATTATTCAGGGAGAAGAAAAATGTGGATTCATTGGGGACAGTGTTGTATTCATCTTTGTATTCATCTCTGTATTCCAGGGATGGTGCCTGGCACTTAGAAGGCCCACAGTCATTTGTTTCATGAATGACATATAAATGCACGAGTCCCTAGATCTAGAGAAGGGTTTTTTACCCCTCATCCCCAATTCCTTTTCTTGCTTCATCCTCAGAGATTTATGAAAAAAGTAGGGAGGATGGACATTGTACATGGTAATTTCTATTCCAGGTCTAACAGGATAGCACCTCTCACATGGCAGAAAAATGATTTCCAATATTCAGCACTCACCTCTCTCCCCTAGAAAAACATGTCAAATGCAAGACTATATGCTCTTAATGACATCTATATTAAGAAATCTGAATTTTCCATCATCAGTGAACACATTAGCTTACCAAATATCTTCTGATAAGTCATTCGGTGCTCAGGTTCTATGTTTTTTATCCTGTAGGAGAATGCAGAAACTACCCATCGCCAGAATATTGTAAGGCTAAGTAATAATAACAGTGACTGGGAAAATGGGAAGTGAGATCGCGTCAAACACTTGTGACAAATAGAAGCAGTCATGGTAAACACTGGGCTTTGCAGCCCCATAAATGTACCCAACTTGAATTCAGAACTGCATCACAGAGAGTAAAAGGAGTCACATGGGAGATAAAAACATCATTTTTATCACAAGGGTATAGTGGGTAATTTTTTCTGACTTTGGGTTGGAGAGTAAGTGGGCTTGCTAATATCGTACCCAGCAGTGAACTTACCCATCACAGGGATGCCTCCCTCTACACTAGTGGCCCTTAACCTTTTTGGCACCAGGGATAAGATTTATGGCAGACAGTTTTTCCATGGGGGATGGTTTTGGGATGAAACTGTTCCACCTCAGATCATCAGGTATTAGATTCTCATAAGAAATGTGCAACCTAGATCTCTCGCATGTGCAATTCACAGTAGGGTTTGCACTCCTCTGAGAATGTAATGCCTCCGCTGATCTGACAGGAGGTAGAGCTCAGGCGGTAATGCTTGCTTGCTCACTGCTCACCTGCTGCTGCGTGGCACATTTCCTGAATAGGCCATGGACTGATACCAGTTCACCACCCAGGGGTTGGGGACCCCTGCTCTATACCACTGACAGCTGGAGAGCAGAGATAACATGGGCTCCTGCAGCAGGCAGGTGGGACCCAAAGGAAGAGGGGGGGAACCTATGCTTTGTGCCTTTTCACAGACTTGCTCATCAGAGAGTTGACTTCTCCTCTCCTGAGGAGGACCTGGAGGGTGAAGAGGGAGACCAGAAGTGTAATTCTGATGGATTTCCCTTCATAGAACACAAGAAGCTCTGTCCTGCCTCTTTGTGACTCTCTTGGTGTTAGCTTACCTATGCTTTCCTAACTAGCTTACCTATGCTTTCCTAACTACCTTTTCTTCTTGAGAACATCATTTGAATGTACCTCTTCTACTGGTGGCACTTTCTAAGGGCAAGGACTATGTCTCATGCCTCATCCATGAAGCTTGAATGAATGAATGAATGGAGACAAATGAAGGAATGGGTGGGTTTATGACTGCTTTTGATTTCCGCAGTAACTCCCATACACACTTAATGAGAACTTCCAACGGTGTTCCTCTGTAGAGCAGATGTCGTGAAGGCAGTGAGATGATGGACAAGTTTCCCTCATAGGTACTTAACTCTGGGGCAGCTTCATGGTGTGATTGTTAAACTAATTACTCCCTGATTCTCTCCCATTCAC